AAAGAGCATTTTGTAAATTTCAAATTGTAAACAATATTAAATTTGTCAATAACAAATAAAAGTTGTAAAAGAAAGAACGATCATTAATTACAAGGAAATGAAATACTTTATCCACATTATTAAGTCGAGGTTTTTTCGAGAGAGTCACTAAATTAAGAAAATGTATATATATTTTGTATATATTGGCAGAAGCAATTTATATATTTGAAAAGTACAGTCCGAGAAATATTTCTAGTAAAAATAGAAGAAAAGAAGTAGAAAATAGTAGTTGTTTCTATCAATATAATGCCCAAAGTAATGATACAATAGAAACAATGCAGATCGCACATATCTCCAATACTGTTTTTTTACATCGTAAGAACCTACGAAATACGTATAAAAATAAGAAACGTATAAAAATAAGAACCTGTAAATAACAGTTTAGAATTAAATGGGTTATAGTCGATGCAATCATACACTTCCATAATCTTCAGAAGTTAAAATAATAAAAATGTTACAGGACAATACACACAGCGTCATCTAGTCCCAAGCAGAGATTATGCTATGGGTACTATACAACTGATACAAATACGTGCATACATAATATATATAGAAATACCCAGACCTATACAAACAATTCTACTCATGAATAAAAATGTTTGTGCCATGCGAGGAATCGAACCTGCTTCCATCGGAAGTAAGGTGGTGTTGTAAACCGCTAGACCACTGAGACCGTCAATGCATGAGCATATGAACATCACATTCATCCCCAAATCAAGATTTTTTTCACGCCAATGGGAGAAAAGGAAATAAATAATAATATATGTAGACAACTACTCTTATACCGCAGGTACCCATAAAACATACATTAGTATGGAATAATAATAACATGTAAATGTGTGGGTGATTTGTTCCTACAACCTGCTTGTGTGAGGGGAGTTTTGAAATGTAAATTATCATTCATCTTAACTCACACGTCGGTAAGGGACCGTGACACAGGTATTTTTTATACACAGGATGCTTGATCGTCGATTTTTGTGGTGAGAAAATTATATTTGTGGGTACCTACCAATATAAATGTGATGCTAACGACCCAATCGAAGATATGATATTTTATCGTTTTATGTGAGAAATTTCTAGGATTTTATTAAGTCTACGATATATACTTATCCAATATAGGTTTAAGTAAAGAATCAAAATCAGTTAATCTGGTAACTACTTAGAGTTTGTATAGAACGACAATTAAAATATTTTTGTAAATAAATACACTACTACTACTGTTTTTTTTATAAAATATACCTATATATATATATATATATATACACTACACAAATTAATTCTGGATTTTTTTTTTATATACTTATCTTTTTGTGACTGAAATCGAATAAAAAACTATACGAAAGTTTTATTTAAAAATAATGATACGAATATATCATAGCAACACCATATCATGTTAACTGACATTTGCACAAAATTGAGTAACATTGATAAAAAATACTGCGACATATATTTGGCCGTAACATTCTGATTACACTGTATATTACACCAAATTCACACAAAAGACTGTGAGTAATGATTTACGGTAGAACAAAAATTAAAACGCATTTTTTGTAGGCACAATAGCGAAGTATCTCCAATCTAATTTAGCTGATATTTTTGTGCCGTTTCATCCAGTTTGTGGAGCCTATAAAATAAATGTAGATCTATGTTACATATAATAATAATATCTCAGGACATTCACACAGCGCCATTTAGACCCAAGCTAAGCAGAGCCTGTGTTTTAGGTACTAGACAACAGAGGTAAATACATGTTTAGGTACATTTTTTTTTGTGAACAAACAATCATACTCATGAATGCAAATGTTTGTACCCTGCGAGGCATCGAACCCATTACCATCGCATAATAAAGTGGTATGCTATACCACTAGACCACCGAGGATGTCAAGTCTATCCTTTCATATATCCTTAAAATATTTTTTCTTCTAAATAGTGTCAATTTAAAAATACATCTATTAATTGATAATAAAATACTATACAAGTAGAGATATATATATATAATCATAGCTAACGAAAGCTATATAGTGTTTAATTATTCGTATAGATAGAAACTCAGACCTATCCTAGAAATTATATCTTTAAAATCATTGAAGTAAATGCTTACTGTCGATATATTAAGATATTTCAATCAGCTTTTTTCAATAACTTCCCATATCACATACATATTATATCTATATAAGCAATATTTATCAGTTTATCTCTTGATAAGCTTCTAATAAAGTTATGTTTACTTCATAAAACCTTGTTGTATATAGTAACTAGCGTCTAGTGTATACGCTGGATATATATTATTATTATAGTTTGTGTATACTCTAAGCGTATACGTCATAACTTATGAATAATGTTTTATCTGTGCGAACATTCCGAGTCTCTTATCTCGAGAATTAAATATACTGAACCAGTTAATCTAATAAATTGCATTGTGGGGAAACGTTTTAATGTATTAAAGCCCAAGCATTATGGTTGTCAAATTTATTATTAATAAATTAATATAGTCTTAAATTCACACAAATGTATTATTAAGTTGAGATATAATTAATAATTAAACATAACTATTTAATATGAGACATTAAATTATGCCAGTCGTCGTAATTAAATTATAGGTACAAATAGACGTGACAGAACACAGACGACTTTGTACAAAGTGTAAGAAGAGAATGAGTATTTCGGACAACCAACTAAGCATACACCTTTAGTACCATAGAATACATTTTTTTAATAATAATAATAATTTGATTTTCATCCTATATTTTACCTAAACTAAGTAGAAAACTGTATTTTAGGTACCAGTTCCCTCCTCTTACAATTTACAATTATTTGAATTACAATTGACCGAAAACATAACAAAAAGAGAATTAATAAAAAAAAAATTTACTTAACAGGCCATCGGTTACTTGCAGTGTGTGTCTATCTTTTTCGAAGCATAATTTAAAGTACTACCTTGCCTGTAGGCTGTAATAGTAAATTGTAATAAATACATACATTAATTTCATAGAACTGCACTACCAATATTTTGTAGTTATTGTTGGCAAATATGTAAGAGCTTAAAGCTGTAGCAATATTTCACGTCAGCGCAAAGTTCAGTTAAATATGTCGTATTAAATTTTATGAAACATATCAGTTACAAAAGCTGTTACCTAGTAAATAAATGTTACCTATTATATAGTTAGTTGACTTGTTTCAGTCATATTCCTGTAATAAATTATATATTTACATAACCTAGAGGCTTTATAATATTGTCGTTTAATTCAACCTACGATACTATAAATGTAAATTGATATAAAGGAATCGAGGTATGGAATCGACGATCGAAAGGCCATCGTTGCGTCCTTTCTATCGTCGATTCGATTTCGTATGAATATTATTTTTAGACTCTGGGTCAGGGTAGTAAATCTAAGTAAAAAGTTTATTATAACTGACGTTAGATTTCACATATCATAAGAGTATGTAATAGACCTTCATGAATATATTTTTTTTTATTTTATTCTAATGTGACTTTATCGGTTGTTGCGACTACATACTGTTGTTTTATTTCACAAATTAATCTATGCCACATTAAGGATTCGTTATAATGTAAATAAGGTCGTTTAAGGACAAAATTAATCACTGTTGTTAACACAACACTACAATATATGGATACTTAAGTAGTTTTTAGTTATAGATTTAATTTTTTTTAAAGTACGTGTCAAGTTTTTTTTTTCGATTCCGGACATAAAAAATATAGATATAATTAACTGTAACAACAGGGTTTGATTATGTAAAGTCGTTGCTGCCAAAAGTTGGATAATGGATTTTGAAAAAGATTAAACTTTTGAGTTTATGGGATGTATGTAGATTATTACGGAGTCAGTCACGAAAAGTACATATCCACTTGTAACTGCAGATGTAAAATGTTTCGCATATATACATATAATCGTACATATAATTTTTTTAAAAGAAAATTGTCAGAAAAATTCCATGAAACAATTTGCAGTTCGTAAATAATGTATGCAATAATTCATAATTGAACGCCTACAACAATTTAATATAAGCAGTCGCTTTGCAAATATTTGACAACACCATTCATGTCAAACAAATAAGTAGGCGGGTAGACAATTTACTAAAGAAATTATCCAAGTAAAAAAATTACCTGTATGTGCTAAATTAAACAAGGTGTGAAAATGGAATAAAAGCAAACAACCAACTCCAACTGCGGGTATGTACTAATACGTTAATTTGAAAAGAAAATATTAGAACGTAACAGATGTGGCGTACTGTGTCGTGAATATTTTTATATCGATGTCCGTGGCAATGACCGCCGCCGTAGAGACGGTTCACGGTCGTTTAAAAAGACGTTTAGCTTAAAAACGGCTAATCCTTGTACGCGACGTTTGAATTTCGAACAAAACCTACACCGGCAGTATTTTGTCTCGACTGACGGATGCATTGTAAATTTTATACACCCTATATTTGAAAATAAATATACAGACGAGCGACGGGGCGAACAGGGTAGGGCGACACCCCCACAGTGACACGTACGACGCACACAAGCGCGCCACAGGGCAGATGAGAGGGCGCTACTCTTGCTTCAGTCTCGCGCCGACCACCACAGCGAATGGTCGTTCCGTTCAGTGTGATACGACCGCCAATATAAACTAGTTTTGTTCCGGACCGACCGACGATCGCCCCCACTGTGCGGCTCTGTCAAATTATACGTGCGTTGTGGACATAAAAACTGTGTATAAACTTGTGTTTTTTTTTCAAACGTGAACGGTTCGTATCCCCTTTTGAAGGCGGTTATTTTTTTTCCACGGTACCAATCCACACATGTTCATTGTTTACATCTGTAGTTATATTAATGGTGTAGACATGTGTTTCTTTTATTATTTCTCCCCTAGCTATGTGGGGTTTAAAATATACGGGTAGGTTTATGCGTTTATAAATCATACGGCAGTACCACTTTAATAAGTCGTTTCTATTTCCAGATAAACTGTTGGGATTGATTGGAAGACGTTGACTTGTGTGGAAACAAAGGTTTACATTGTCTAAAGGTGAACGATCGTGCTTCATTCAACGTGATTCTACAGGTATGTTTGAACAATATCAGTTTAAACTTTACGGCGCGCGTTCGTTGTATCAGGTGTAAAAATCACCTACGAATTAGAATTTTGAATTGATTTTTAAAATTTTACTTATCTACCCTCTGGTCACTCAGTGGCCAGTATTATATTTCATAATACTTAAAAATCACAATATTGCACGATTGATTATGTATTTACAGCAAAAGTGGCATATGTCGCGTATTCATCCGTTTTTGGGTCAACGACCTCAATAAACCGCGTAAGCCGGTACGTTGCTAATTTTTTTTGTACAACTAAAGTCTACGAATTGCGTAACACATAATAATGTGTATGTAATTAGCGATGAATGCCTATTGCATATCGACTTCGAGATATCGAATCCAGCCTCTGTTGGGTCTTGTCTTACATAATTTTGTAACCTTTTGTTTGGCATTTGATTAAGCCATTCGAATTATTGTCGGTGTCGGTCACTTGTTGCTTCTAGCGTTTGTGTCTGTTTACAAAGTAATATAACTAGCTACATAAGGGGGTATAGGAAATTGTTTGTAATAATCCCCATTACCATAGTGACCTTACAGCTAGTAGTGTATTGTCAGGTTGACTTCCACGCGGACCCTTCTAGAAATTATTGTTAGTTAATTCCTGTCTCATTGTGGTGACCTGACACCACTATGGGCTCTACGTATCATCTTACACTGGTGCCCCGCTAGTGCAAACGGCTTCACAGTTCCATATACAGCCATTAAAAAAAATGTTAACCAACTAAACAGGTACAGACTGATAATAATCTACCAAAGTTGACTATAGATACTGCTACCAGGATAATCTCAATATATATTTACATAGATATAGATAGCAATCACGATAATAATGTAAACACTATTATTACTATGTCATATTGTTTATTAATCGGTAGAAAAGTAATAGTGACCCGGAGGTAACGCTGGCAAGACACCAGTGGAAGATGACAAGTTTCCAAAGGTGACCGCGTGGAGGTCGACCTAATATTGTATGTTGTATAATCATTAGGTCAGTTCCCATTACTAAGATGCCACGGGATGTTTGTAATAAACAAAAAACACGAAGTGCGTTCTTAATATCAATATATCCTTGCCAGTCTCCAGACAAATTGTTATAGAATAAATGGATTGAAGACGGATAGATCGTTCTAGAATTTCAGCATTGTTTGATAAACAATTATTTGAAATAGAACACTTGATTGGTACTCTATTCGCGTTTTGTATGTTAACAGTGTATTTGTTAATCAAAATGATCTTAAATGTTTCTAATAATCAATATTCTCGTCGAACACTCGTTCATTATGTACATCGTGAGTTAATTACGACGAAATGTGGGTGTTTTGAATGTCAATTGGTAGTTAACGTTCGAGTCGAGGAAACTACACTCATATACTTAGGGCACCTTAGAAAAATAAGTTTAAGATGAGTTCATACTGGGGCTACATTTCATAATTCTCCTAAACATAGATTTGTGGCTATGTACTAGGTTATCTAGGAGGCCAGTTCCCTGCCCTGTTTACTTTTCTTATATTTTTATATAGATTTCATTTTAAAGTACTTGTAACTGCATTAAAGTTTCTTGGATAAGTAAATTTCGTGTCATACTAATAAATTCATAAATTTAAAAGACTGTTAGTCTCATTGTTCTTTATCTTATTGAAATTTGGTTTGAACATAGATTGTATCACAAACTAATCTTATTTCCTGTAAATATACAATTTACCTACATAGGAAAACACCCAGACAAATAAAAATCTCCAATATATAAAAATGGTTGTATTGTGTCAGAATCGAACCTGTGACCATCGGTAAGACAGTGTACTAAACCGTCAAGGTCATTGTGATTGGAAATCGTCAACAAAAAACTGACATACTTTGGTACAAGTACATATTTTTGAACGCGCAGACAAGTATTTTTTTTGAATTAAAACTTTTTTATTTAGAACTCGTTATTTTTTTTTAAGGAATTCCATTCAAAATTCCGTAGTTCAGGTGGAGTGGATTTTTAATATGAATTGATAACGAAAGGGCCGCTTAACCCTATTCAACACCCACACACGAATAAAAATGTTGGGCTGTCTTTGTATACGTTTGAAGCGTAATGCTCCATCTTGAGATGTTATTTATCTAAGTTCAGTACATATTTCTTTGTTCACGCTCTTTGAGTGGCAAATTACGTTGTACTAACTGTAACCTACGGTTTTACCTGCATGAATTATATTAAGATGTACCTCAAATTGTAACTCAAACTTTAATACTGTCTCATTTCCGGATGGTCGCTAATTCGATACGCGCAAAATACATTTTGTATTCATAAATATATATTTAGCAGGTATTCAGTAACTTCTAGAAGGGTCTGTGGAATTTGGAACTAGAGTTAGGTATGACATTTCTAAGTATATTTATGAATATTTTACTATTAGTTTACCTTTTAGTTTGCCTAACTTCTTTTTTACTGATTTTGGAATATAACACCATAAAATACGCAATATAAATTATTATAAGATAAAGTACCGTTCCACAGAAATATGTCGCGATTTACGACTGAAAACGTTGCCAAAAAACAATTCTATTTAATACAATCCGACATTCACTAAGCAATGTTGGGTAAGGTCAGCTAGTGTGCACTATCAAAATGACATGATAAGGCTGTTTGAAAGAATTCCGTAGTCCAATTCGTTCGTTTAATAATATTTATCCTGTTTATGCTATTTTTCATACCAATTAAGGAATCAATATCAAATATTAAAAGAAACTAAAAAAATAATAATTTTGAATTTTGAAATCTTTTGTTCTATATTAATAATTATCTAGGGTTCTTAGGGTCAAACTTTTTGTATGAAATTATGGTATATATATATATAGATATATATGTATTTAGTACTATTAATGCAAAGGGATTTTGTAAGATGATATGTATAAAAGGAGGGGAAGCTCAGATATGACGGCTGATAGGGACCGGTGGAGGAAGATGACATATTGTGCCGACCCCAAATAATGGGATATAGGCAAGGCAATAATGATTTTTCAGTACTATGTAGATGGTTGCACAGATTTTCGATTTATAGTTATTGTTCTCTTGATATAAATGCTGACTCCTTGTACTTGAAATTGTTAGAATGGGCTTATACAGTTTACTTGGACATAGTAGAAATAAACACTGTATAACCTAAGATTGTTGCTACTGACTATTATCCGCGACTTCCTCTGCTGACATGCTGCTTTGTGACATAAACGATAGGCTTCGTTTGTTCTCGTGATACAATGCAATAAACATACAGACACATTTAAAAATTTATAATATTTTAAATCTGGATTTTATTGTATTACAGAAAACAACCATTTAAAACGAAATACAATACGCACAGCAATTTTTAGAACGTTTATGCATTAACGTATTTTCCCTCATAAATTACTAAGGACTCTATGTGACCGTTAAACCACATCCTCGGCCCTTTAATAAAAGGTCTGGAGTACGTACTGCAATTAGGGACAATCATTCAATTACAGAGTACATTAGGGTGCGGGTGTTTCGGCGTAAATGTAATACGCTTGTCGTGGGGCAATTTATTTCAACTTGCTGCTTATACTCTTTTTAATGTTTCACTTTAATCGAATGTATCTCTCTCTCTCTCCCTGTCTATCTTTCTTTGTTACCATGCTTAAACCGCCGAATAGATCTTAATGAAGTTAATATGGTCATTGTCTCACGAGTATTGCAATCTTTTATCTAAGAAAATGCAGACGAATTCTATATCTTAGACACTTCTATATATTAATTAAAATTAAAAATATCTTCATCATCTGTTTCTTCCTTATCCCGTTCATTTGGGGTCGGCGTAATATGTTTTTCTCTTTCATTCATCCCTGTTCGCAGTCATCTCGTTCTTTACTCCGTTTCTTACCATATCATCTTTCACATAGTCCATCGCTTTTTCGGCCTTTAACTATTTGGGCTCTGCCCTTGGCTGGTTAAGCCACATTCATATAACACTTTCCTTAAAATATCATCATTCCTAGAATTAAAATTAAAAATAGTTATTTTAATATTGAATACAATGTTAAATGAATTAAAATTAACGTTGTAACATTCATAGGCAGCCATTTATTTTAATTGTCTGATGTCATAACTTCTGAACGTCAATCCGGCGTTTTATGATTACAGCAACATATTCCAAAGCAATACAATTTTAACACTAACTCGTGGGGAACACGATCCAATTTTCCTTGAACTATTGACATTGACAAAAAGATCGTGATCTCTTTATTACGAGCGACTGCAATTACCAAGTAATCGCATAACAGACATGGGAATCGTAGTCATCAGTCACCGAAGCTCTTTTTCTACGCACCTTCCCCTTTGATTCCTTACGTAACGATGTCCAGTTGAGCAAGACCTCTGAACTTACGCCTACTTCCCTACCTCACCTTATTTCGAAGCGGTATCAGGGAAGGGGGGAGATTCAAATTACAATGGGCAGACAAATTCTCAGAGACTAGTATAGTCATTGCCCGTGTCGTTACATCCCCTTTTTTCTTTGTTCAAGAAGCGTAACGCCACGCAAGTTGGTTCTCAGGCCTATGCCTCGTTTGTACCGATTTAGTGGCAAGTTGAGTCATAAGTTGTGAGTAAAATTAGTCATCGCTGCTCTTTGTTGGATGGTTCAGTGTATTGACCGTTCATGGCACAAGGATGCTGATTTACTCGATACCATGGCGGAAAATAATAATAATAAGCCAGGACAACTCATACATCGCCATCTAGTCCCTAATTAAACAGAAATTGTACTGTAACTAACGTACTAAACAACTGATGTAATTAATTAAATACATTTTTTTAAATACGTACAAAATAAGTACATAAGTATATATAAAAATACTCGGATCAATATAAATAATCATACTCATGAGTACAAAGGTTTTATAGTACGAGTATTGAACCCGCGATCAGAAGATTGCAAGTGTGGTAAACAACTGAATTTTAGA